CTCGGAATGTCTTCGGCGGTAGCCACACTGGAACTCGAACTCGAACTGATCGATACGCACTGTGCATCCACTTATATAGCTGCAGTGCTTGCCTGTGGCGTAATGAGTGCCACGTCACAGTAGGACGTTGATTACGGTTACGTTAGCGTTGCGCGTTACGTCACCGCGTGACGTCACCGCGGAGGGGAGTGGCGGGGAGCGCTACGTTACCGTGGAGAGGAGGGTGGAGGGGGGTTCTCAGTCGCGCAACATGTTACAATATATAATATATACTACACAAAGCTGAGAAACTGCAGACCCTGATTCCCATAATGTGGGAGTTTTACAGTGTTTGTTGTTCTTCCACCATAAGCAACTATGCAAGACAAATATGAGGTCTGGCAATAAAGTTTGCAAACTCGCCACCATGTGCTTGCAAGGCATCAATGGACAGAAACGTCAGTATGGTTTGATGATGTTGGCATATCAGCATTTCAAAGCTGTGTTGTTGTTGTTGTTCTTGTTCTTGTTGTTGTTGTTGACTTATGGCAGTGTCTTTCTGAGTGTTTGGTGTGCTTTTGCGAGAATGTTGGAGCTTGAATTAGAACACTGTCTCTGAGGAAGTTTTTGGCTAGTAAACAAATAACTCTGCTGGAACACCCTCCCTATTCACCAGATCTAGTACACAGTGACTTTTTTCTGTTTCTGAAGATAAAGGAAATATTGAAAGGAAGGCATTTTGAGGACACTGATGACATCAGGAGTAATACGATGGCAGCTCTGAAGACCATTCCACAAAACCAGTTCCAAAATTTTCTGATGGGTCGACTAGGTGCTGGCATCGGTACAGAGCTTCCCAAGAGGAGTACTCTGAAGGTGATCACAGAGATATTCAGCAATAAGGTGATGAGTTCGCAAACTTTACTGTCAGACCACGTACATTTCATGGTCAATTAATATTACAGCACATTGCAATTACTGAAAACTGTTGTATGCATTCAGTGAGAATACAGTTCATGAATGTCACAATATTAAAACATTACCCGCACAGTTGGTTGGAGATAGCTGGTTACGTGGCTGTTGAATGTGGCAGAAGACTCTTTAATTTACAAAATATGTAAAATATAAAGGTAAACAGTAATTATGTATTTTCATTTCTTAGTATATAGGTGACAGTTTTTCTACTCCTCTTGGAAGTCAAGTTTCTGACACACAAAATGGGACACAAATGTACATTACTTACTTATGTATTGAGCTGAGCACTTCTTGAGAAGCTGCCAATTGTGCAGTCACTCAAGAACTTCCCAGCATTTTATGGAATCTGAAGGTTCATTACCATGTTCACAAGAGCCCTCCACTGGTCCCTATCCTGAGCCAGATCAATCCAATCCACACCATCTTAGTCTATCTCTCTAAGGTCCATTTTAATATTGTCCACCCACCTATGCCTTGGTCTTCCCAGCGGTCTCTTTCCTTCTGGCTTTCCCATCAATATCCTATATGCATTTCTATTCACCCCATTCGTGCTACATGCCCTGCCCACCTCATTCTCCTTGACTTGATTATTCTAATTATACTTGGAGAAGAGTATGAAGCTCCTCATTATGCAATTCTCTCCAACCTCCTGTCACTTCATCCCTCTTCGGTCCAAATATTCTCCTCAACACCGTCTTCTTAAACACCCTCAGTCTATGTTCCTCCCTTAACGTCAGAGACCAAGTTTCACACCCATACAAAACCACAGGCAAAATTATAGTTTTGTATATTCTATGTCAATTAGATTCTTAATTTCAATCATATCACCATGCATTTTAGATTTTGGAATAGCTAAATTACATGTTTTCAATAAAATGACCAATATTTCTTAAAGTTATTATTAATACTCAAGGCTCTCTACTTCTAATACTGCTACAGGAATATTATTAATAAGAATTACAGCATGATTAACACAATGACTGAAGGTTCCCAAGTTAGTTCACATTACTCAAGTCTCAAGAAAGGTAGTTACTTGAAATGAATAGTTTTCAAGTCAATGAGCATAAATCTATCTAACAGGAACTACCAAACATCCACTGTGGAAAACATAAACAGCTCCCATACATTTCATGTGCAGACATTGTTCCCATTATCAGTCAAAGCCTGCATGCATTGCAAGACAAATTTATACTTTGTAAAAGGCTATGGATATAAAGAGTATTAGCACTGAAACACTGAATTCATTCAATAAGTTCTGCATTTATACTGATCATGTTTCATTACCATGAGGAAAGGTTATAATGGCATGTATAAGATTAATGGCAAAAAAAAAAAAAAACAAAC